TTTGTTTTGTTTTGTTTTGTTTTGTTTTGTTGTTGTGTTGTGTTTTGTTTTTGTTTTGTTTTGTTTTGTTTTGTTTTGTTTTGTTGTGTTGTTGTGTTGTGTTTTGTTTTGTTTTGTTTTGTTTATTTCTTTTTGTTTTTCTTAGAAGACAATTATTCACAGGTATCTATCATTGCAAGCTCAACTTCTGTCTCACTTTGATGCAAAGGCTTTGCTAACTTCACACCCCCGATCCAGGACAGCTGCCATCTTTTCAGCCCCTTTAATTCAATACAAACTCAACATTCTTACACACTTTTAATGCAGGAAAATCCTAGAGGTTTATCTCAACACTTAGTAAACTGGTAAGCACGTTAAAAATTTGAACTAGTTTAGTGTTAGCCTCCTCCACAGGCATCCCATTCTTTTCCGCTCTTCTTTCTATTCTTGGGCTTCCTGTCTTCCTCAATATGGAGGGAACCACAGGTAGCCCAAGCACTGGACTTGGCAGTGAAGAACGAAAAGTTCGATAAAAGTGGTAAAAGTGGTATATAAGTAGGGGAAAGTTTACCATAATGAGCTGAAACTTCACAGGGGTGTTCAGAAAAATAAGAAGAACACTATGTTGTAGTTTGAAATAATTTTATTCAGTTTTACCACTTTTATCTAACTTATCGTTCTTCACTGCCAAGTCCAGTGCTTGGGCTACCTGTGAGGGAACTAGCGTTAAACTAGTGTGAGCTGCATCGGTGTTTCTAAAGAAACAGTTCTGTAAAAAGATAAATGTAGCACTGTAAAAAAATAAGTGAAATAACTTACGTTTCGGATGTTAATCCTTCGTCGTCTTTACTCCAACGAAGGATTAACGTCCCGGAACGTCAGTAAGTTATTTCACCTATTTTTTACGGTGTTAAATTTATCTTTTTGCATAACTGCTTCCTCAATATGACCAAAAGAGACTGCTACTCCACTCCCCAAATACAAGAAGAAACCCCTTCATTTCTTGGCGGGGCTCAAGGCTCCCATTCAGCCAAGAGGTTACTAGCCTGTGTATATATCCGTTTCTCACCCCTCACAACAAATCCCCGAATTTTTCCCGCTGGGGGGAGGGATGGGAACGGATTTTCACAGGCTAAGAGGTTACCAGAGGGGTCCGAAAGGAGCAAAATGTTGCTGGAGGCTACCAAAGTGTATAGATTCAAGTAAGCAAACTCTACTTTTTTGCCTACTGCCACTGGTTCTATTTTATGTTAGAATGTTGAAAACTAGCGGTAAACTAGTGTGAGCTGCGTCGGTGTTTCTAAAGAAACAATTATGTAAAAAGATAAATTTAACACCGTAAAAAAGTAGGTGAAATACTTACTGACGTTTCGGACGTTAATATTTCGTTGGAGTAGAGAAGGATTAACGTCCGAAATGTCAGTAAGTTATTTCACCTACTTTTTTACGGTGYTAAATTTATCTTTTTACATAACTATTTTATGTTAGGTACATTTCTAATCATCTCCATGGATTGTTTGCTGGAGCCTGGGAGCCACAAGTTATAGCCCCATTGAAGGTTGATATTCCGATGCCGTCACAATCTCAAGGTAGTTACAATGTAAATTATTGAACAAAAGAGATTCCGTTTTTCCATGCATCCGTACTCAAAAGCCTGAAGCACAACTTTGCCTACAACCATCGCATGTAACCTGCATAAGTCGTCCTTACAACATGGCTACAACTGTCCTAGGGTTTTCAAACAATTGCTTAATAGCACTACGACAGTTGTAGCCATGTTGTAGGGTTGACTTACGCAGGTTGCATGCGATGCCTTGTAGGCAAAAGTTGTGCCGTCTAATTCGGTCTAAGTAGATGCACAGATGACTTCAAAATTTGACGAGAGCAAAAAACCATTCAGAAAAATATATGATTTTTTATGATTTTTTCCAGTGAGCGTGTGATTTAATCCAAACTGTCGAATGAACGCAACAAAGTGCGGGCACTGGTTCTGACCAATAAGAGTAAACATAACTGTCTTGCCGTATTCTATCAAACTTATCTCTTTGTAGTCTCTGAATGCGTAAAACTAGTATCAAGATCTAGAAAACCGCTTATTCTACTTGGGAGTCAAGTAACACTACCGCCTGTACCAGCAGAAAAACTTAAAAACTCTCTAGAGGTAACTAACTGTTATTAGAGAGGTTTAGCATGACGTTCACGGCAAATGACAAACGGCAGAAAATATCACGTGCCGGGATCTGCTTTTTTGGAGTTTAACATTGCAGTTTCAACGGCGAGAGCGGGTTATTTTGAGGTTTCCATAATCGTGAAAAGCCGCTCTTTCAAATGACTACCAAAARCACRAGGTCRGGCAYGAAATTCTTAGGTCATTGGTTCAGCTCTGCCGTTAGCCGTTTGCCGTTAACGTGATGCTAAAACTCTCTATTGCATTTGATCGTGGAGTGAATTGCAGACGTTGTCTGTTTTGAAAATAGCCAAAGTTTTCATACTTTTATTCCTTCATTTATATCTGAAATCTTATTTTTTCATTTATTTTTATTCATTTACCAGACTGAAGTACATATGTACGTCTACATTTAGTTAATATTCTTTAATTTATTTCTTTATTCATTCATTTATTCATTGTTGCATATATTTTTTGGAATCTTTTCATTACTTCTTTTGTTTATTATTCAATTCTCATCGTTTATCCATTTAATTGATCATGAGATAGCTCTGCTGCTAGAGCATTGATAGGGAAAACCTGAAGGTCGTGGGTTGGAATCACAGCGAAATTGGAAATTAATTTTTCCGAACTATTCTTCCAAGGGTCTTTCACTCGAAATAACCTTCTTTCTATTAAAGCACTGAATTTCCATTATTTTCAGTTCATGTATTTCCTAGTAGAGCAAACGCAGGAAAACCATGAAATAAAACCAAACTAAATGCTAACAAATAGCGACTTTTTACAGACAAATTGGCAGTATCAATGAACCACAACGCAATRAAGATGAATCCACATGGGACCATTTTTCATTCATCTTTATTGCGTTCTGGTTCATTGATACTGACAATTGACTCAAAGTAGCTGCCATTTGTTAGTATTTATATAGTTTGATTTTATTTCAAGGTTTTCCTGCGTTTGCTTTACCACGCAGTCCACACATCAATTTATTTGCTCCTTCATTTATTCTTACGTTTCCCTTGGTCTGTATACAGGACTTAGGTATACCATGTTTTCTTGGTGGTATGTCTCGTGGCATGCTGGGAAGGAATAGTTCACTCCATATAAGGCAGCGCAGGAGGGATGCGCTAAAGGAGGCTGATTTAGTCATTCTTGCAGGTAGGCATAATGTTTGATAATCTTAGAACTTTGAATTAGCTTTTGCAGTGTCCAAACCTACCTGGATGAGAATTTCATTATGACGCCAAATCAAAACATCTATTGTTTTAACGCTAAGGATAATGGTTGCCAGATATGATCAGTGTGACTGCATATCAAATAAAATGTACATAAGCAATCTTTGATACATGACATATCAAAGCACAATAATACATTTAAGTTCTACTTTCGGAAACAATATAAATTGGTCCAAATTTCCACTGTTTTTGAGCATCTTCCCATACTTTGACGTCGACTCGATATGATTTTGCAGTATTAATGCGGCGTATTATAGGTTGGTGGTTTGACGATTTGAGCAAAGGTTTCTGTTTTTTTGTGTCGTTTAACAGCTGTGAAAACATTGCTTGGTTTCGAAAAGTCGACGATTTTGCAACGCGGTTCCAATTTTTATGTTTTCATTGCGCATTTATATATGTATTTAGGTATAAAACATCTTGAACTCTAAAACAAGCTGTTGTCATCGAGTGCATTTGCTGGTCTTCATTTGAAATCTTATAAACTTGCAATTTTTAGAAACATCGTTCAACATTAGAACATAATTACTACTAAATCCTGCTAAATTATGCCAATTCTATTGTTTTCTATTGTTCAGTTCTCACTATTTAGTTAAGAAACATAAAACGACGCGCGTGTCTCTGTATAAACACGGTGGGAGTTCGAAAAACACGAGAGAAGTAAACTTAGTAACAAGAGCGTAGCGAGTGTTTCTTTTGCTTCTSGAGTGTTTTTCAACTACCACCGTGTTTATATCAGAGGACAGAGACACAAGCGGCCGTTTTATATTTCTTTTATAAAATTTTTCGAGCGAAAAGCAAATTTTGCCGGTAGGCCGTGTCTCTGTCCTCTGATATAAACACGGTTGTCAGCCAATCAAAGCGAAAATTATCGAAAATTTTATAACAGTAAATAGTGCAAAGTGTTGAACACATTTAGTGTTTGTACTCTATCGATATTCCATAAACACTGCGGGTTGAATACTGACATTAGTCGGGTTAGCCGTAGGCGTCCCAACTTTAGTTTTACAGATATTAGGATATTTAGATTATTAGGATATTTAAATTTGAACCTTTGTTATTATAGATTAAAGAGAAAGTATTCTGTTTTTTCGTTTGAAGAATTTGAACTTTCAGGCAACACATCGTATAGTTGACTTTTTCTAAAGGCAACTTACGCCAACACAGGTGGTTTTCTTTCCGCTGTCAACATTGAAAAACACAGGCAGCCCAACAACAACATTGATAACGACATAGCACGTGCGATATCCTGGTTCCAGAGGCTTGTCTTTTATTGTTTTTTTTCCTTTTTTATATGTAATTAGCTCTACACAATATGTGTATTGAGCATTCTTTAATGGGATCAGCTACTTCCTCTTATGATTATCATAATCATATGATATTTTATAACATAAATATTTACTTAAATTTTAAGCCAAACAAATTAGAGTCTAAATTGATTTTCTATACGGAGTATAATCAACTAGGATTTTGAGTGAAAAATCAAAGAAAATAAATGGTTCTAATCTACAGAAATTTCCGATCAACAACATCATGATTCTCAAACAGTCCGTTGGGGTTTTTGTTTCACCTGTGATTTTTGTCCTTCTAAAATACAATAGAAACAAACGTTCTGCTGTTACGGAGGATAAATGATTTAGGACATGTTCTCTGTGACTACAATTGTACATATATGGTGTGTAACAGTTAGTATTTGTTTCATGGGTACATCGCTATGAAGGCAGTCAACAGATCTCATCTCCACACCTGCACTCGT